TAAAAAGTAAACTACACAGACATAGCTGTCCAATAATCTAATGCCTATTACATCTTCCTCTATCCCATATCTTTATAAATCCATTTAACTTTCCATTTCTTTCAGACAATTAACTTTCTTTCCTTTCATACCTTTCCATATCAGGTTGCACTCAGTACAAGTTCTTGAAGTATTTTCCCCCCAGCCTTTGAAATTCTCTCCCATAATCTTTGTATTCTGCCACCACCCCCATCTCTCACATTGGTTTATAATTCAGGGCAAGTAGGGAACAAACACATACAAGTCAAAACACAGAGGTACCACCTGCTTTTGTTGGTTCAGTCCACCAGTTAAGATCATCTTCCCAAGCCCTACTCTTTGTGCTTCCTGTCAAGGGGAGACAGCTAGCAATCAGAGGCAGGGGTTTCTAAGTGGTGGCACCCCATCTTTGGTATGTTCTACTCACCTGCCATCTACCTTACTCTCCCCTAGGTATGTGTGTTAAGTGCTGTCAAGTTGCTTCTGACTTATGACAACCCTATGAACTAATGACCTCCTATTTTAACAGAGTTGCTCAGGTCTTGCAAACTGAGGGGCATGGTTTCTTTGATTACGTCAATTCATCTCAAGTTGGGTCTTCCTCTCCTTTTGATTTCTTGGTTGCAGTATCCCTTTTGGTTGATGATGGACCCTATAAACAGAAAATCTTATAACCATTTCAATTTCTTCATTGTCATTCTTAAAGCTGTGTAATTCCCCGGTAGTCATTACTTTTGTCTTCTTGATGTTCATGTGTAATCCTGCTTTGGCACTTTCTGCTTTAATCTTCAGTAGTAGTTATTTCAAGTCTTCATTATTTTCTGCCAGTAATGTGGCATCATCTGCATATCTCAACTTCTTAATGTTCCTTCCACCAATTTTCACTCACTCTTCAACTGAATATAATCCAATTTTCCTTCTGATATGTTCTGCATCAATTTAAATACATGAGAAATTGATGTGATGGTCCAATAGTTGCTGCAATCTTTGATGTCTCCTTTTTTCAGAACTGGAACATAGATTGAATGTTTCCATTCTGTGGGCCATTGTTTTGTTTTCCATATTTGATGGCATATTCTTGCTAAGATTTTGACAGACTCCATTTCTGTGGGTTGGAATATCCCTACTGATATCCCTTCTATTCCTAGTGATTTGTTTCTTATAGTTGCTCTCAGTACAGCTTTCAATTCACTTTCTAAACCTGTAAGTTTTTCTTCAAAAGTTTCTTCTTGGAAGGAATCTATCATCCTTTCATCTCTTCTGTAAAGTTCTTCAATGTATTATTCCCATCTTTTCTTTATTTGTCCTGTTCAGTTAACATACTTCCATGTTAAACTTTCAGCATGTCTATCTGTGCTTTGAAGTTCCCTTTGATCTCTTGGACTTGTGGAACAGATCTCTTGTTCTTCCTTTTTTTGTTGTTCTCTTTTATTCTTTACACTGGTTATTATTATAATAGTTCTTTTTGTCTCTATGTATCAGTCAGTGGAGCAACACATTTAACCTTCTGATTCTATTTCTTCACCTGTGGTACCAGGCCAAAATATTACTTCTTACCTAGGCTTTTAACTAGGCATTTTAACTAAGGGGTTCCTTTTTTCTAAAGTGGTTTTAATGATCTGCTTCTAACCTGTTTTATAAATACCATTTTAGGCTGCTGAGGAGAGTTTTATGCCTTGGCTTGGGTTTTTGTTTGTTTTTGGCTTTTTACTATTGATGCTGAGTTTGTTGATGTTCTTCCATCAACACACCAGCCAACAATTCCTACAGATGATCCTGGTAGTGAGCTACATGTTCTGGTCTAGGTACATCTGCATTACTTCTGGACTTATTTCTGGACAACTTCCAGGACAAGAGCACATTTACCATGGACTTTTGAGGCTTTATGGATAAAACCATCTTTCACAGAGTATCTTTCACAAAACAATAGAGTTTCCTCCAGGGGTCTTTTTGTAGGAAAAGAGCTGCAGGAGCTCATTAGCATATGGTATGCTAATGAGCTACTAGGCTATTAGCATAATAGCTCATTAGCATATGCAACATCCCCTGACATCACCGGAAGTGATGTCAGAAGGGGAAGCAAAAGGGGGGAAGGCATCTTTGAAAGCCTCCCCTCCCCTTCCCCAGCCGGGGGGGGAAGTGAAGAGAAAAGGGGTTTAAAGTTTAAACCCCTTCTCACTAGAGTTGGGCCGCAGAAGGAGGAAAGAAGGAAGGAAGGAGAGAGAGAGTAGAGAGAAGGAAAGAAGAAAGGAAAGAGGGAAAGGATGGATGGGTAGAGAAAGAAAGAAAGAAAGAAAGAAAGAAAGAAAGAAAGAAAGAAAGAAAGAAAGAAAGAAAGAAAGAAAGAGAGAGAGAGAGAGAGAAGGAGAGAAAGGGGGAAAGAGAGAGAAGGAAAGAAGGAAAAGAGAGGAAGGGAGGAAGAGAAGGGAAAGATAGAAAGAAAAGGAGGGAAAGAAAAGGAAAGGGGAAGGAAAGGAGGGAAAGAAAGAGGGCAAAGAGACAGGGGAGGGGAGGCTCTCCCACCCCCCCACTCAAGCCTCCATCACCCCCCGTGGATCCCTCACTTACCCCGGGAGGCGGGGGCCTCTTCTGGCCTCCTCGGGCCGCAGCGCTCTGGTGGTGGCCCGGGAGGGTGGCGGGGGGGCTCTTCTAGCCTCCTCCTGGCTGCAGCACTCTGGCGCTGGCTGGGGGGCTCTTCTGGCCTCCTCCAGGCCGCAGCGCTCCAGCGCAGGCCCCGGTTACTAGCAGGGGGGTCTTCTGGCCTCCTCTGGGCTGTAGCGCTCTGGCGCGGTCCCAGGTACCTGGCAGGGGGGCCTCTTCTGGCTTCCTCTGGGGCATAGCGCTCTGGCGCGGGCCTGGGTACCTGGCGGGGGGCTCCTTTGGCCTCCTCTGGGCCGCAGGGCTCTGGCGCTGGCCCGGGAAGGCGGCGAGGGGGCTCTTCTGGCCTCCTCTGGGCCGCAGCGCTCTGGTGCGGGCCCGGGAAGTCAGTGGGGGGGGCTCTTCTGGCCTCCTCCAGGCCGCAGCGCTCCAGCGCTAGCCCATGGAGGCGGCAGGGGAGCCTCTTCTGGCCTCCTCCGAGCCGCAGCGCTCCAGCATGGGCCCTGGGAAGGCGGCGACAGGCCTCCTCGGGCCTCTCTGAGGCCACAGTGCTCCAGCGCAGGCCCCGGGAAGCCGGCGACAGACCATAGCGGGAGGAGCTGGAGGTGGGGTTTGCTGCCACCACCATTTTGCCAGCTCCTGGGCTCCCAGAGTGGCGCTCTGGCACGCTCCGGCCCCAAAAGACCCCTGGTTTCCTCACATCAACCAGGAAGATAGGACATTATCAATATTTTTTAAAATACTGAATTATTCTTAGAAAATGTAATGGGAAGAAAACTGGCATTAATTCTTCTGTGCATTTTTGTGTTATTTTATCCTCATCAAATATTTTTCAGCAGTGGTGTCTCATGGAACACCACAAGTTAAATGACACATAAAAATTATTGTGCAAATCCTTTGCTGGCACCTAATCTTTAGCTGTTCCGTTTTGCTAGACTGCAAAGGAAAACTGAATGCATCAGTTTCACTTTTCCTCTTTCATTACTTTTTACAGACAGCCCTTTAAACTGTGGTTATTCCTCAGCCTATCTTTGGAACTTAGCCTACATACTTACCTGAACTAAAGACAGCAAGCTTTCTCCAATGCAACATACTTCTTGTTTGCATTCCTCAAGTTCCAGCATAGTGGGCTACCCTTTCACCTTTCCTGAACTTAATTATTTTATAAACAAGATCCTTTTTTTTTGGCTGGAACATATAAATTCTGTCATGTTCACATTAACATCCATTAAAATAAATGCTTGGTCTGGATAGCATAAATAGATATAACCACAACATAGTACTGGGAACCTCTCTTTTTAGTACATCTAACCTGCAGTGCAGAATTATTACTACTTTTTAATCCTTAAATATCCACCAATTCACAAAGAGTTACGTAGATGCACACATGGTTATATACTTGTGCAGTATCAGTAGTATATGTAAATTTTAACCACCGTGTTTGATTTCCCACTCCTCCCCATGCAGCCTTGGGTCAGTCACAGTACT